CCCACCCCAATCTAAGCAGGGCAGTGAGTCGACTCTGCATTCTCGCCACGAGGCAGAAATGACCCAGTGTAATAATAGCTTTCAGTGTTTCAGAAGCTGGCAGAAATTAAGACGTTGTGATAAAATATTCTGACTTTTTGAATACCAGCGTAGGGTGGAGTCTGCAGGCCTCCTCTTTGGAGCCCCTGCTCTGAAGATGCTGTTAGGAAACTATTAGTCTGGGATTTCATATAAACAGGACCAGTTCTACCCTGCTATCTGTACGGTTAGAATGGGACCATACAACTTACCAGGTAGGGGATAAAGAAACAGACGAGGCTCTGGTAGAACGCATCCGCCATGGAAATCCAGAAAGTCAGCAGGTTATAGCACTGCCAGGAAATAACACATCGACAGTAACCACCATCCAAGCAAGCCTCTGTTCTTTGTAAGCAACTTTCTTGTGCACGGCTGGACTAGACAACACGGCACTTACAATGCTTCTTATCTTAGAGGCAATAGAATGGAACGATTAAGAGCATGGGCCTGGGGGTGACAGACCTCAGGTCCAGTTCCAGCACTGTGTGACCTTAGTGAAAGTCACTAAACTTCTTTGAGCATTGTTTCTTCTCTCTTAGAAAGTAGAGAAAAACTATTTCCTTGGGTTTCAAGAGGTCTAAATGCAGTTGTGCTCTGGTAGCTAGTAAAGGCTCAGCTACCAAATATATTACCAAATTATTATTACCAAATGATAATGAATGATTATCATTCATTAGCACATTGTTAGTGCTAATACAAACTTGGTAAGTTTAGAGATTCTGAGGTTTCTGAATAGCACCTGAAAGAGAGCCCTTAATCACAGCCCAGGGTCACAGGTTCCCCAGATCTCAGTGGCTTCAGAGACAACCTTTCTCGTTTTGTGCTTCACTCTTCTTGCCTTCCCTGGGAAAAGTGAAACTGTTCACATTGTATGTTTTTGCCACATTAACTTCTTTTAATGTTAGTTACTCAAGGAAGACATTACGCAGCTAGCTCGCCTCTGGGAAGGGGACAGTTAGAAGGGCCCAGGATGTATGCGTGCCATCGCCACGTCTCCCTTGCTTGAAGTGCTGGGGTTGCTTTCCACCTGTCTCTGGGTGAGGATGGGGCTTGGTTCTTCACTGGCTGTCCCCAGAATATCACCAGCTCTCAAGCACCACATCTGGCTTTGTCCTCCTTTTCCCCAGGTGCAAAGGTACCCTCGTGCATACCGACATCCCTTTTCCCAGAGCTCCCCCTTCGAGGCAGTCAGGTCCCCTCTCTGCCTCCTGCCTCCAAGCTCCTGGCCCGTGTCTGTGCTAGTTGGGCCGCCTGCTGTCTGACTTCTCCAGATCACCTAGGGCATCGTTGTGGCCTCTGTGCCTTGTAAGAGACTGTTCTGTGGTTTTAGTCCAGGGGTTCCCAAACCAAGCCTTGGGCATTCTGTTGAAAGCCTACAGCCAAGGACCAGATAAGGGTGATGGGATCTTTCTGTAAGCCCTCTTCCCCTTTATTAATGTGTGATGTAATGAAGAAATAACTGAAAAGAAAAATACCCACTGGTCTGGTCCATCACCTTCAACAGCAAATGAGAAACAGGCCAGAAGCAGGGAGCAGCGTTTCCGGGTCACACGGGAGGTAAGTGGCAGAGTGGTGACCAGAACACAGGACCCGCCAGCCCAGCACTCCTTCTCTGACACCTCAAGGGAGGAGCTGGAGGTCACCTCCCCCCGTGCCCGAGCCCCTTACCTCAGAGTTCTGGCCGCTCTTGTACAGCTCAGGCAACGCCAGGAGTGTTTCCATAGAGATGTCTTTATCGAGGACTCCGAAGACAAGGGGAGGCAAGGAGGTGAAGAAGAGATTGAAGAAGATCAACTGCCAGTAATCGATCATGGTGGAGCCAGAGAAACCACAGAAGAACTGGTACCAGAAGAGCAGGTTGACGTAGCCCTGCAGGCAGAGGGTGCGGCCTTGCGAGTGAGGACCCGCGGGCGGCCGGGTCACCAGATGCTGCTTAGGAGCTCTGACCAGTCCCTGCTCAGACCTGGAGCTTCAGTTTCCTTGTTTGTGACAGGCAAGGTCGTATAAGGATTGCAGGTAATTTTCATCCCTTAGATTCTACCATTACCACTTCTGCTACTACTACTAACCTACTTTAGGACCTGAAAGGAGTTCCACCGATTTGTTAAGTATACATTGTTAAGAGCATAGGGTTTTGGAGGCAGAGAGGACTGGTTTTGAATCCCCAGCTGGGTCATGTACTAGCTTGAGTCACACCCCAGTTGGGTGTGAACTTGGTCAAATTGCTTAGCCTTTCTGAACGTCATCTTGCCATCTTTTGGATACGACTAGTAGTACCTAGACCACGGCACGTGACACCAAAAGGCAGTAGTTGTGGTTAGCGGTATGGTAAGAGGAAGGGACGCTAGAGAGCCTTGACCGCGGGCAGGAAGGCTGGCGGGAGGATGACTTCGTGAGGAGGTCGACCTCACAACGCTTGCCTCACGGTCACACAGCTCCAGAGGTGAAGAAGAAAGCCTTGTGCCTAAGTTGCTTTATGCTTTCGAAAGATCCTCCTACCCAAGACCTCCTCACCTGAGAAGGGCTGGGTCACTATTACTATCTAACGTATTGTGATGTGGTTTGGTGACTTGACCAAGCTCACAGAAGCAGCTGGTCCTGGCATTAGAACGAGAACTTCTCAGCTCTGCGTGGCTGGGGCCCAGAGGGGTGAAGGATGTTGTAAGGGAGCTTTCAGTGGGTTTGTGTTCAAGCTAGAATTCTCATTCCCTGATTGCTGGGCCAGTGTTCTTTTTAAGAGCCTCTTGTTTAGTATTGTAATACTACCAGTAACATTAACATTCATATTAACACCACGATTGTTATTTGAGCTCCTGTTTGTGACAGGTGTGTGACATACTATATTAGTATATACCACATTAGTAGATGTGCAGTATACATAATTTGTCCCACCAACCTAGCAAGATTAATGTCATTGCCAATAATATCATACTACTATATTTATGTATTATTAAATATTATAACTTGATGATAATGTTAATATTAGTTAACATTATCTACAGACAAGGAATCTGAGGCTCTGAGTTACTCAGTTACTCCTTGCCTGTGTTCACAGCCAGGACACGGCACAACCAGCCCCTGAGTTTTCAAAGCTTCCTCCTCAACCACCCCTAAGACCTCTTAGTCCCGTTTTTGGATTATATAATAACAATGCTGACCGAGATTCTTCCAGCCGAGGAACTCCATCCTTTGGCTTTTCTGCCAAGATGACTAATGGGAGGTTTCCTGGCTCTGAAGGACACCCCGGTGCTCTGAGACACCCTGGATGGACCTTGCGTCTCTCTGAGGGCCGGGCTCCCCTCCATTGCCGCTCTGGGGCTTCGGGTCACCCCGCTCCCACTCCAGTCCCATGATGCTGTGAGGGCTTTTCTCCTATGAGTTTTTGTGAAGTTCTGTCTCAGAGGAGGAGATTTGGGAAGGAGAGGGCTTGGTCTGATTCCTGTGCTGTAGGTAGGTTTGAAATATACTATGCGCAGACACTGAGTCCCCAAATTAACATCACCCACTTGTGCACTTGACAGGATTGGTTTAAGAAGAACCAAAGAGCTAAAGTCTCCTTGATACTAGGGTTCAGCAACCGCATGAGGCTTTGACTGCTTGTTTTGTTTTGTTTTTTTTTAGCCTTTTGAGCACCTTGCCTGGCTTCTTCCTCCCCAGCTGGCTGGGTAAGACAATAACTCTTATCTCCATGTACGCACAGGCAGCATGAGTGGCTCAAATGGGGTAAATGACTACACCAAAGTCCCTCTGCCAGTTGGGGCTGGAACTGTGACTAAGTGACGCCATCTACAGACGAGGCCAAGAATAGCAACGGCAGCAAACACAACAGCAACAGAGACTCCTAAAGTGCATCTTAGGTGCCAAACTCTGTTCTGACCCACTCAGTCCATCCACCAGCCTTATGAGGATATCACTACTATCCTCATTTGACAATTGAGAAAACCGAGCCTCCAAGAGGTCAAATCATGGGGCTGGGGTTACAGACTAGTAAGTAACAAAGCTGGAGTCCAGACCTAGATGTTCTGGCTAAACAATATGCTACTGAACAACCAATGGATCACTGAAGAAATCAAAGAGGAAATTCTAAGAGGGAAGTCTATAGAAATACAGTCTTACCTCAGGAAACAAGAAGAATCACAAATAAACATCTTACCTCAGGAAACAAGAAGAATCACAAATAAACACCTGACCTTAAACCCAAAACAACTAGAGAATGACAAATAAAACCCAGTTAGTAGAAGGAAAGAAATCTTAAACATCAGAGCAGAAACAAATGAAATAGAGATAAAGAAAACAATAGAAAAAGATCAATGAAACTAAAAGCTGGCTCTTTGAAAGATAAAATTGATAAACCTTTAGTGAGACTCATCAAGAAAAAAAGGGAGAGGGCTCGTATCAATAAAGTATCAATAAAATTAGAAATGGAAAAGGAGAAGTTACAATGGACACCACAGAAATACAAAGGATTGTATGAGAGCACTATACACCAATAAAATGGACAACCTAGAAGAAATGGACAAATTCTCAGAAAGGTATAACCTTCCAAGACCCAACCAGGAAGAAATAGAAAATATGAACAGAACAATCACAACTACTGAAATCGAAACTGTGATTAAAAATTTCCAACACACCAAAGTCCAGGACCAGATGGCTTCACAATCGAATTCTTTCAAACATTTAGAGAAGAATTAACACCTATCCTTCTGAAACTATTTCAAAAAATTGCAAGGATGGAACACTCCCAAACTCATTCTATGAGGCCACCATCACCCTGATACCAAAACCAGACAAAGTTACCACACATGAAAAAAATTACAGGCCAATATCACTGATGAACATAGATGCAAAAATCCTCAACAAAACACTAGCAAACCAAATCCAATGATACACTAAAAGGACTGTGCACCCTTATCAAGTGGGATTTATCCCAGGGAATGCAAGGACTTTTCAATATCTGCAAATCATTTTGATACACTACATCGACAAATTGAAGGATAAAAACCATATGATTATCTCAATAGATGCAGAAAAAGCTTTTGACAAAATTCAACACCCACTTATGATAAAAACTCTCCAAAAAGTAGGCATAGAGGGCACCTACCTCAACCTAATAAAGGCCATATATGACAAACCCATAGCAAACAACATTCTCATTGGTGAAAAGCTGAAAGCATTTCCTCTAAGGTCAGGAACAAGACAAGGATGTCCAGTCTTGCCACTTTTATTCAACATAGTCTTGGAAGTCCTAGCCATGGCAATCAGAGAAGGAAAAGAAATAATAGGAATCCAAATTGGAAAAGAAATGTAAAACTGTCACTGTTTGCAGATGACATGATACTATATATAGACAATCCTAAAGATGCTACTAGAAAACTACTAGAGCTCATCAGTGATAAAGTTGCAGTGTACAGAATTAACGCACAGAAATCACTTGTATTTCTGTACACTAACAACAAGAGATCAGAAAGAAATTAAGGAAACAATCCCACTTACCATCGCATCAAAAAGAATAAAATACCTAGGAATAAACCTACCTAAGGAGGAAAGAGACCTGTACTCTGAAAACTATAAGATGCTGGTGAAAGTAATTAAAGATGATACAAACAGATGGAGAGATATACCATGTTCTTGGATTGGAAGAATCAATATTGTCAAATGACCGTACTACCCAAGGCAGTCTACAGATTCAGTGCAATCCCTATCAAATTACCAATGGTATTTTTCACAGAACTAGACCACAAAATTTTATAATTTGCGTGGAAACACAGAAGACCCCGTATAGCCAAAGCTATTTGAAAAAGAAAGAGCTGGAGGAATCAGGCTCTCTGACTTCAGACTATGCTACAAAGCTACAGTTGCCAAAATACTATGGTACTGGCACAGAAATAGAAATACAGATCAAAGGAATAGGCTAGAAAGCCCAGAAATAAACCCACACACCTATGGTCAGTTAATCTATGACAAAAGAGGCAAGAGCATACAGTGGAGAAAAGACAGTCTCTTCAATAAGTGGTGCTGGGAAAACTGGACAGCTACATGTAAAAGAATGAAACTAGAACATTCTTTAACGCCATACACAAAACTAAATAAATAAACTCAAAATGGTTTAAAGACTTAAATATAAGACATGACAGCATAAAACTCCCAGAAGAGAACATAGGCAAAACATTCTCTGACATATATCATACCAATGTTTTCTTAGGTCAGTCTCCCAAGGCAATAGAAATAAAAGCAAAAATAAACAAATGGGACCTAAAGGAAACCATAAACAAAATGAAAAGGCAACCTACATACCGGGAGTAGATATTTACAAACAAAGCGACCTACAGGAGATTAATCTCCAAAATATACAAATAGCTCATGCAGCTCAATATAAAACCAACCAACCAACCAGTCAAAAAATTGGCAGATCTAAATAGACATTTCTCCAAGGAAGACATATGGATGGCCAAAAAGCACATGAGAAGATGCTCAACATCACTAGCTGTAAGAGAAATGCAAATCAGAACATGAATGAGGGATCACCTCACACTGGTCAGGATGGCCATCATCAAAATACCTACAAACAGGGGCCTCCCTGGTGGCGCAGTGGTTGGGAGTCCGCCTGCCGATGCGGGGGATATGGGGTCGTGCCCTGGTCCGGGAGGATCCCACGTGCCGCTGGGCGGCTGGGCCCGTGAGCCGTGGCCGCTGAGCTTGCGCGTCCAGCAACGGGAGGGGCCACGACAGTGAGAGGCCCACATATCGCAAAAAAAAAAGAAAAAAAAAAAAGGAAAATACCTACAAACAACAAATGCTGGAGAGGGTGTGGATAAAAGGGAACCCTCTTGCACTGTTGTTGGGAATGTAAATTGATACAGCCACTATGGAGGTTCCTTAAAAAACTAAAAACAGCTACCGTGTGATCCAGCAATCCCACTCCTGGGCATATATCTGGAGAAAACCATAATTTGAAAGGATACATGCACCCCAGTGTTCACTGCAGCACTATTTACAATAGCCAAGACATGGAAGCAACCCAAATGTTCACTGACAGAGGAATGGATGAAGAAGATGTGGTACATGTATACAATGGAATATTACTCAGCCATAAGAAAGAATGATACAATGCCATTTGTAGCAACATGGACCTAGAGACTGTCATACTGAGTGAGAAAAGTCAGAGAAAGACAAAGATCATATGATATCACTTATGTGGAACTAAAAAATGATATAAATGAACTTACAAAATAGAAACAGACTCACGGACTTTGTGAACAAACTTATGGTTACCAAAGGGGAAAGGTTGGGGGAGGGATAAATTAGGAGTTTGGGATTAACATATACACACTATATAAAACAGATAATATAAAATATATAGTCAACAAGAACCTACTGTATAGCACAGGGAACTCTACTCAATAATCAGTAATAACATTATTACTGTTATTATTACTAATAACATATATGGGAAAAGAATCTGAAAAGGAATGGGTATACGTATAACTGAATCACTTTGCTGTACCCCTGAAACTAACTCAACACTGTAGATCAAGTACACTCTTATATAAAACAAAAATTAAAAAAGGAATAATCCAATTAAAAAATTGAAACTGTATTAATCCTTAAAAAGAAAAAAGAATACAAGGTTCCTGACCTCCAAGACAGTATTCTTGAGCAGGCCCTTTGCAAAAGAAGTTTGCAGAGCCCCGATTTAGACCGTGAGCCTCATGAGAGTGGGGACCACGTGGGTCTAGATCTCTGCTCTATACCCAGTGCCTGATAATGTTCCCGACACAGCAGATGTTCAATAATTATTTGAACAAACTAAGTACATCTTGCTGGTTCTACCGTCCTCACGTGCATCCTGGAGTTTTAACGTGAAAATGTGTTTCCTTCCACAGGTCGTATTAGGACCTTGTGCGTTTCCACTTGCTCTGCCTGGCTGGAATCTCTGCACCCCGGGGAGACCGTATTGAACCCCGTGATGGCATCGCTGAGACTGGGCGCCTGTTTTTCCTCCCAAGAAGCTACAGTGCAGTAATGAATTCACTGTTCACATTTCAGAGCAGGCAGGGTTTTAATCCCCTCGGAAATTGGTTTCCGACATGGAAGTTATAGTTCTCCACCCTCTAATTGCAAAGGGGAGATAATAGGGCATCAGTATTGCCATTTCGATCCCGGTATTGAGCTGGAAATAAATATCATTTAAGCTCTGAAAGCATGGCTGGCTGGAAATGTTTCCTTTTCTATTTCACAAATTTAATGCAGAGAAGAGGTTGTGCTTATTCAAAAGAATGATTCTCTTGGAGGCAAGGAAAAAACATTAAACGGGGGCATTTTGAATTCTAACTACACAGCCTTTCTGGTCAAATAGAGACTTGTTTGCATGGACTTGCTGAAATAATGGTACCATCCAGTGTATGGAATTTACATTATTTTTTGTCATGCTGCTTATTTACATATACATTGAACTTCGCACAGAAATGCTTATTCCCGAGTCAGGGTAACTGTGACTTTCCCGAAAGCAGGCCAGGGAGAATGGGGTGAGAGGAAAAAAAATATGCCATTCTGTAGCTGCTACTTGGCTACTGTGTTTCGCTTCCATCACTCCGGTCTTAATCCTCCCTTTTTCCGTATGCAAAAAGGAATTGGATTCTATTTGGAGTCTCTTGGGGATTATTCAAAGGTCCTCAAGCTAGATAATGAAAAGTGCAGGCCCTGTTCTCTCCCTTAGTACAGCAGTGCTCTGACTTCTTCCCATGCCCATTGTTAATCGAGGGCTTTGCAAACAAGAGCCTCAGACAGTTTTAATACCTCAGTTGGTGTGTGCCTGCTTTGGGCCCTTATCAACAAGACAAAAAACACACATATCTTTCAGAGAAACACTCATACCTTCAAATGATTGTATAGTGCTCCGTGCCATCCAGAGCTCTAATGCTAAAACCTCTCGATAATACTTGTAGCGACAGAGAGAGTCCTATTCTCCCCACATTATGGATGAGGAAACCAAGGCTCAGAGAGTTGAAGTAACTCTTTCAAGTTCACAAAGCATGCTAGAGTCAGGCAAGACCAAAACCCAGATGACCACCCTGCTCTAAACATTTGTGCTAATATATATTTTATTTAGAAGTCCTTGTTGGGAATGCTGGCGATGTCGAAGTGATACACAGGGTCTTGGGTGGAAACCTTCCCCTTCACTCTCCTGAGGGGCAGGGTGCTGCTCTTGCAATGTCCGGGTGACTCTATCTGGGGAGGAAACCTAAGCTACAAGTTAGGCGAGTTGTTCTTCAAATCCTTCTTCCTTGCAGTCAGAAAAGAAATCTCATTTATGGAGGCCCTCTAAGAGTTACGACAGCAGCGACAATGATAAAAAGAAGAATGGCTAACTTTATAGGGTGATCACTAAGCGCTAATCACTTTCCACACAAGCTGTCAGTTCATCCCCGTGGCAAGTGTGCGAGAAAGGTACTATTACCATCTCCATCTTAGAGATGAGGAAACTAAGGTGTGAAGCCATTACCAAATACAGGAGCCTCAGTTTGAACCAAATCTGATCAGACTCCAGAGTACTCACACTGCCTCCTATGTGCCAGGTGCGTGCCAGACAGTATTGCCAATGTTGACGATGATGTCACCAAATAGTACTAGCCCCATTTTATCAAAGACGAAATTGAGGCTCAGAGAACTGAATTATCTTGCCCGAGGTCCCTGAGCTAGGAAGGGACAGTCTCAGGATTCAAAATCCAGGTTAGCCTGACTTATTTCCTTACATAGAGATGCTCTGTCCGTTTCAGCGGGGAGAGCTGGCTGTCCCCTGGCCAGGACTCCCAGGGCTCGGGTGGGAGGTTACCGCAGGGCTACTCACCACGTTCTTGTAGAAGTAATACGCCACCATCCTGGCCAGGCGTGAGTAACACCAGTGTCCGTGCACAAGCAGCAGCTTCTTGAGGTGTCTGAAGTGGGAGATGGCAAAGTCGCTGGACATGACGGCCTGACAGGGCAGAGCAGACACATCAGCTTCCATTCACGGCTGCCAGTGCACCAAAGAGGCTCCCTTGAGGGTGCTGCTCTGTTCTGGAGCCACAGCCGGTAGGGTCTAAAAGACCCTTTGTCACGTGTAGCACCCTTGGGTGGCTCTATGGACTCTGACACCCCACCCTCTCCTCTGGGAAATGCAAACCCCACTAGAATCCAAGGAGGGCAGGTCAGAAGGGACCAGTGGTCTGCTCTGGCCCTGCACCTCCTTCCACTTATCCAATAAGCATTTATTGTGAACCAGTGTGTGCTGGGCACCATCTAGGGATGTGATGGTTGACCAGAGAGTAGGGGCTTCCATGCAAGTGATCCTCAAACCGCTCAACACCCTTGGCCACCCACCAAGGAAGGCCATTTGCTCCAGTCTCATGTGGAGCTGATGGATGGATAGCTCTTCCTTTCCATGGAGCTGAAATGTGTCTTTTGCCCTTGGGATGACTCAGAAACAAGGCCCAGTTCATAGTAATTTTTTAGAGTATGAGGTTTGGACGTGCCTGGTTATAAATCCTGGTCCGAGTCTTGGTCAGGGCGTTTAACCACTCTCAGCCTCAGTTTCCTCATCAGAAAAAGTGGAATAACAATCCCTAACACACAGGGTGGTGGCTGCTGAAATTAATTGGGATAATAAGTGTGAAGTGCGAATAGAGTGCTGGCCTACGATAGACACTCAAAAGGTGACGGTGTTCGTTCCTCCCCACCAACAAATTTAGGCACCACCTAAAGTCTGCACTGGTGGTGGGAATACAATTGTTAATGGTTCAAAACCCCAAGGTGGGGTCTGTCTTAATGGGAAACATTAGCTCAAGTTAGTATGCTTGTTCCAAGCTGAATGTGAGTAATTTTGGTACACTTTTAAGGTATACCAAGCAACTTATAGGTCCATCTAGCCATCACGACTAAAATGGCAATTGAAAAATATTTTCCGATGTCCCTACACCTGTCACTGCTCACAGAGGGCACTGCAAACTTAGATGTGGGTGGAGGTTACAGGGAGGAAGCATGGAATCGGGAAGGCTTTGTTTTCCCTGAATGGTTGGGTACTATTTGGCTTTAGAATATGGGTATCGCCAGCTGTCTATAAGAAGCCAAGCATCTTTGATCACTCGACTTTATTCTGAAGGACTGGGCAGTAGGGCTGTGGTGATGGAGGTTATGTATAGGCAAGGATATATGCCTTTCAGATGATAATTCTGCAAAGCTCTTCAGTATAAATTCCCCCAACACTGTGGGGAATTGCTTAACTCACTAATAAGGATAAAGGAGAGTAAGAAAGTAACAAGTAGAGTTGAAGCAAATGATACCTGCATGCCTTCCTGTCCAGATATTCCAATCCCAATATCAGCAGCTTGAATCATGCTTACGTCATTTGCTCCATCACCTGAAAGGAGAGAGGTCATGAGATCCTGGTCCAACTGCTGTGTGACGATGAGAAGTTTTATACAAGTGGCACTAAATTGTCCCTATTTTGTGCACAAGTGAATCCTTTTTTTTTTTTTTTTTTGCGGTATGTGGGCCTCTCACTGTTGTGGCCTCTCCCATTGTGGAGCACAGGCTCCGGACGAGCAGGCTCAGCGGCCATGGCTCACGGGCCCAACCGCTCCACGGCATGTGGGATCTTCCCAGACCGGGGCACGAACCCGTATCCCCTGCATCGGCAGGCGGACTCTCAACCACTGCGCCACCAGGGAAGCCCACAAGTGAATCCTTTTAATGTTGCTCTGAATAGTCCTATAGGAAGAGTCACTGCTACAGGCCTTTAGCCTGAGAGATCTTTTCTTGTTTGGACAAGAAGCCCTACTCTTTCTTTATCATTTACCAAATATTTATTGTGTCTTTTTTTTAGGTACAATGTTAGGTATTGGGAATACAATGGTATGTGAGCCTTGGGCAGTGCTTTACAGTTTGCCAAAAAGGCCTTCTCAGGTGTTACAGTGGGCTTCACTGGGAAGCAAATAGAGAATTTGAGCAACACAGGGGCTCGGCAAGGGTAATCCAGGTAGTGAAGGGACCCGGAAGCACTGGAACTAAGATCTTTCTGTTTCCACGGCCAGCAAACCTCCCCTCACTCAGTATAACTTATACTGACTATATCAAGACAACTGGAATGCTGGACAGCTAAATCATCAGAGATTGTCAATGGTGTCCAAGGACAGAGACAGTGTTCAGTGATGTTTCTAAATATAGGAACATGGGATTGACCCATTTTTTAGGTTGAGGTACACTGAGTCACTTTGGGTTCCCAGTCAATGAATCAGTTGTTTCAGGGAACTGGAGGTTAGGGCATGGAAATACATACACACACATGCCACCTTTCATACCAGCACCGTCAAACAGATTTTTCTGTGATAGAAATGTCCTATATCTTTACTGTCCAATTTGAAAACCATTACCCCCTATGACTACTGAAATGTGGCTGGTGAATTTCTATTTAATTTTAACTTTGAATAGCCACATATAACAGGTGGCAACCATGTTGGACGGCACAGCTCTAAACAGTGAGGTCTTCCTCACAAGCCTGGCTTCTCCAGACTATGATGCCTTATCCATCAGACTAGAGTTTAGCAAACTTTTTCTGTAAAGGGCCAGATAGTAAATATTTTAGGCTTTGTGGGCCAAGAAGCAAAACTGAACAA